CTTTGGTCCATACACTTTTTGGAGGACCGAGTCTTACTGCGCAAGTTAGTATAGGCGCCATTAATTACAGTGATTACCGATCATTCCAAACAAGTCTTAAAAAAAACCTTTTCGATGGTAAATTAGATTCATAGTAAAATTTATTCTATTTTATATTGATGTTGATAAGTTGTCTGGGTGAAATAATGAGAATCTCGGTACAGCCTTTAAATGTCGAAACTGCAATCAACAGGATGGACAATAATGAAGTTTGAGTGAAAACTGATACAAATTTAATGCAGTTAGAGTAGTTTCGCATCGGCACATAAAACACTTTAATCGTGCTGAAGATACAAAGCCACGAGCCTGATAAAAGTCGTGAAACGTAACCAGTAAAAAAAAGAGCGAAGTGATCGAACTTTTATGCAAGAGCGTCGTCCCAGCCCTCTTGGGGCTTTTTTTTTCGTTCCTCTTTTTCTTAACTCTGTTCGAGAGCATCTGTCTAAGTCTATTTATGCACGGGGGGCTTTTGACATTTCCGATCCAGGCTGTGTTGAAGATGCTGTGTTATATAAAGCTGGCATATACCGTAGCTAAATAGCGAGCTGTTTGTGGCCGGAGTGGAAGATCTTACGAACACGAAAATCAGGAAGTCTGATGTTAGAAATATTTTCACTGACTTTTTCCCAGGCTTATGGCAAATGAATATCCATGATCTGACGAAGTCACTGGGTTTAGCTCTGTACTTATTTTTAAAATCAAAACCAAATTTGAAACAATGGTTCTACTCTTCCCCTGTCCGCTAGTCAGTAAAGAACTGATACTTTCTCTCCGAAAACAAAGATGATATCAGCAGTGTCTCCGTCTGACATTTGTTAGACAGAGTATCGGAAAATTCCTAGGTTGAGGGCTTTTCGATTAGCGTCGTCAAACCAAAACCAAATTTATTACAACAGCCGATCAGAACAAAGAAAAATGTCCGCACAAGGAGATCGTGAGAATTCAAAGTGAAAACAAGTTAACTGCCTGAAGAGCTTAAAAACAAGAGCCGGTGGACCAAGTTGCGATTGGTTTCAAATTAAAATTAAGTAGAAGCTTGAACTTGTTTGCCTAGTAGAGTGCCGCGAGTTTTCCGAGTCAGCGGTCAGCTGGGAGCATGCATACTGAAAGCACTGACAACCAAAACAGTCCAGGTACACTTTAGAGACTCAAATGAAAATTACACTATGATTCTTGATTTGGTTCAAGTAGGCTGTAAAAATGAGATCACTGTGAACTGGTTGAAAGCTCGTTTTTTATTTTTTTCATTTTATTTTTTTTTAAAGTCAACTTGCTCATGATCCACTGACTTTCTTGCTTTAAATCGAAGAAATGGAGGAAAAGTAATTTATTGTAGAATCGTATTCTTAGTTGTCCAAAGCGCGCCCGACAAATCTTTTGCCTTTGTCTAGTTTAACTACGAACTCAGAAATTCAGTTTTGACTGTTTAACTCGAGGAAATTATAAACTTTTCCTTGAATTTCGACATTTTCTGAAGCAATCACGTGACGAGAAGAGAGCACAGACGAGCTCATCATCAGCCACAGTGACAGTCACCTGACACAGCATCACAAATTCTTCCAAAAGGTTGAAAAGAAAATGTATGGCTGGTTTATGGGAGAATAATAGATTAGATCGCCAAAGGCAACAGGTTTAACGTTATTTCAGCTAGTTCTGTCATGATTTAGAGGAAAAGGTTGCAAACGCTAACTATTATTGTGTTGCTGATTGCCTGGACAGGCTAAGATTTCCTTTTCACATCTGCTTTTACTCGTCTAAGTACTTGGGATGTTTGATAAAGATGGCGACGTTTAATTCCAATCGTAAAAACAAGCGAATTTGTCGCCGTTGAAGCATTAAAAAATTTTCGCTTTCAGAAAAAAACCGGCATGGAACTAGGGGTAAATTAAACGAATAGACTTGACCAATAACAACCACGTCGAAGCGACAAACAGATTGTTTAGTTGTGTAGATGGAAAAATGCATTAGTCCTTTACCAGTTGTTTACGATCACGTTAATTAAATTGTTGTTTAAATTATTGAAACTTTATCCTATTATGTTGTCGTTTCTAAAAGTTACCACAGTTTAGATCAGTTAACCCAAGAAAGTATTTTAGCAATGATGGTGAAACACAAGAATGTTGCTCAAAGATAAACTTCACTTCATCTAGGTGAATTTCTACCAGAGGTACTTAAGCCCAAATATGTTTTCAGTGTTAGTGTAACACCTGTTAAGCCGTCGACGCTCTATAACCGTATGATATTTTTTTACATACTTGGCACGGAATCCGCGAGCTCCCAAGATCTGCTGTTTGTCAGCCAGAGATTTGCTGTCACTTGTTCAAAACCTGTCGATCACTGGAATTTCCAGTGTTTCAGAGCCATATCATTACGCATTTTGTTATTGAGGTGCAACGGAGAAGAGAGAACGCCAGCCTTCGTCTTGAATCTGACCGCATAACCTTGACTGATTGTTGACAGTTTTTTTTCTCATAATAATTTCTGATGCGCAATCTTTGCGGTGTAGTGGAACCAAAATAATCCTTCGGCCTCAAAAAATAGCCTATTTTTTGCCGTGACATGACCGCGGTAAACAAAACACCACACCTTAATCTGAAGCATTTGGTGGAACAAAAACCAGTGAATAGTCTGCCTCAAGTTCTATGGCGTAATTCTTTTTTATAAATATTTTTTGTTTTTCTCAGCAACGAATAGGGCGTTGTGACTTATAAGTCCGCGGCGACCTCGAGAAAAGCGGTTATTAGCGAGGTGGATAGTGTTGAGGAAGTGCAGCTGGATCTGGATTTAGACGGGAAATTTCCCCCTCTGGATGGACTTGAGTCCAGATGACTGCAAGGTCAGTTACAGTTTTACAGTCCTATAACTGTTATCTTACATAAATTTTCAGTCATTAATCAAATTCTCTTTCTTGTAACTACGATATAACTCAGCTAAAATTTGGCCTGTGAATTAGACCATGTAACAACTTTACAAAACCAGTTTTCATCATTTAACAGCGAGTTATATCCCACACGTACTTTGGTTGTTTTCGAAACGGAAGCATCAACAAACTATCCTTTCGCTTCCTAGATCTTCAGCGATTTATTACTCTCCTTATATCAGTGGTTTGTGTTAAATCAATAGTGATCGTTATATTATTGGAGGAAGTTTAAGTTTGATGATAAAAGAGCGGAGGGATTTTCGGGCCGCCTACATCCTTTGGAACACTTCATTAATCACCTGTTGCATTTCGATCTAAATTAAATTTCCCTAGCCACGTGCGCGCATGGGCTCGGCTCTGCATACATCAATTTTTCGGAAACAGAATTATTGTCAAAATTTAAGTCCCCAACGTGCTATTTTTAGGTTTATACATTACTGGAGAAAACTGTTTAAAGGTTATTCCAGGGTTTCATTGGGAAAATACGAGAAAATTTGAGAATAACAACGGCATCTACTGTTGCCGGCTGCACTTGGTACATTTGTCGTACCTGTAAAAGACCTGTCACGGCTTCGGCAAAATAGTCAAAACTTCCCCTGTAGAAAAATAATCTAACGTTATTCAAAGCTTTATTTTAGGTATCTAATTGCGGATCGAACAGCCGATCGCTGTAAATGGAAGGGTTATTTGAATTTTCCACCCTTTTACACCACCGGAAGTCGATTTAATTTGAAATTTCCTTCTAATACTTCAAACTGCGTGGGCTCTTTGTTCATTAAGAATCTTCTAATTTCCTCCGTTTAACCTATCACTGGCTAAATGTAGTCAAGAATCGTACGCTCTTGATCAGTTTTTCAGTCTCACTGGAATAATTATTCAGACTGAACGCTTTGCCAATTTTTGTGAAGCAAATATGAAAAAAAAAAACAAAACAAAACAAATCGTGGAGCAGCGATTGATGAACGATGTCTTCATTTTTTGCTTTCCGCCGTGCTGACAACCCATTTCCGGTTTTTACGAAATCAAGTAACTCGTGACTTTGTCTTGCACGTTGCACGATGAATAAAGCTATTCTGATTTAAGCGGAACTATGTAAAAGTTTCCCTTAAATGTCTTAACAGAATACATTGACACCCACGCTTAACAACACTTAGTGCGCAGGGGTATTGTTATGATAGCGAAAGGGGGTGGGAGAGGAGGGTGTTAAAAAAGAAAATCTTGGGGAAATGTTTAAAACAGCAAGTCGACACGAGTTTAGCTGCATGATATTATTATCATACAAATGCTATTATTCTATCGAAACTCAATGTTCGTACTTGCAGTCTGGCTCTAGCTAAGCCGAAGGATTTTGTATTTTAGGGTACATGTATCTAACACTAACAACTAAAATTGTTGAAGTAAACAACGATTAAACAAATACTGCTAACAACAGGTGGAAAAGTTTCAGGGTTCAAAGCTTCGAGTTAAAAATATATATTGTGCGATAACCGTACTGTTTTACATAATCCAGACTCTCCGCTCTCACTTGGCTCCACAAAAATTTTTATATTGACATGGCGACAAGAAGATTCAATTTACAGTTAAGATCGTTTGTTGGACTTGTCAAATGTTTTGATCCTTCGCTGCCGGAAAACAAAGGAATCTGTCTGGGCCTGTAGCTCAGACAAGTTATATCCATTCGTATTTAACAAAATTAAAACCGAAGATTTACAACGATTTCCTGATCCAAAGTCCAAAGAACGAGTCCAAAAGAGGGGTGAATATTATATAACGATGATCTGTTGAAAAAGCGATCTTGCTGAAGGGAAACGCCTTGAAAAGTGTAATGCCTAATTTAGTTTCAGTGTGATCACAGCTGATTTAGCGTTGCGTGAAAAAATATTCTAGAAACAAAGCACCTCTCTACCTCGCCCCCCTCCTCTGGGGCGGTATCGATTCTTTGTTTTCCAACCAGACCAATGAAATTCGATAACTCCCTTCTAATTAGCCCATGGTGCAGGCGCAGTAGCTTACCAAGGGATGACGTTAACCCCGGGGGGGAGATACCGTCAGTTGCTTTATCCGGTCAATGGCGTATATCATCGGTCATGGAACTGACGAACCTCTCGAGCAGCACAAGCTAAAATCCGTCCACTCGAATAGAGATTTTCAAATGTGAGGTGTTCACCTCATTCGCCAGAGTTGAAAATTTCACCATACTTCCTTTGGGAGTGTTCAACGACTCAATAACGACATCTTTTGTGTGTCTGTACGCTTAAAATTCCTCTTTGGGAAACGAAACTCGACTTCCTTGCGGGGAGAGATCCGAATAAGTGCGATTTTGCTGCAATTCATCGTTGAGTTCTTGCTTTCTTGAAAAGCCTTTTGGATAGGTCAAGGCATTGTTTGTGCGTGCAAGTGTTTTCCAGTGTTGGATAGCAATTTTGTATATGTTTAAGGTGAGTGAATGAGGCGTGAAACGAAGATCGCTTTTGCAGTCTTGGGAACGTGCAGAAACATGTAACTTTGCACTGTGCTACGTGTAGGGGGGTATCGATCTACCTCGTGTATTTTTCCCCGCATTTATATTAGTACTCTTGAGTCCCACGACTGTAAAAGCGATTCTTTCGAGAGAGAAGATCGGTGGATTTCAAATACGATGAAGCGCTTCTAAATCGGGCGCTTTGTCGTAATGTTGTGGTTCTTTGTTCGGGCTTGTCAACTGTTCAGAAATTTTAATAGGAAATATGCTGCTTATGTAGGATCGCGTTTGTAAAAGCAAAGACCTTCGTTTCTTGCGTATTGTTGTTTCCAAAGTGCTTATTTTGTACTCAAGTAAGATTTTAATTTTGGTTTAATCTGTACTTTCTCAGTGCGAAGAGATCATATTGAGCTTTGTTATGCATTCGTCAAATTCACATGACCTCAAGGCAGTCCCTAAAGAATTTATTTCATAGCTCGGCACTTCTGACAGTTTCTTCTTTATGTATGATGTTGAATGGATGAAGTTGTATGGTTTAGTATTATAGTGACCGAAGTCTCACTTAAATGTTATTTTCGCCATCCAAAGTCCACGAAATGTTCAATATACTGCAGTGTTCTTGTTTGTGACTGTACTTCAACAGGAAGTCTCGTAGTTCAGTTTATGCTTATGAATGCATATCTCGCTTTGGTCACGAAACATCTTGCTCGGGAATTCGAAAGTTCAGAGAGCTCATCTTTTGTAATCTTTCAAAGCACGTTCAAATTAAACATTTCAAAGTTGTGGAAAGGGCTTTGATCGACTTTTACAGGTATTCGATTTCAATCCCAGCTGTATAATCTCGTTAAAAACATAAATTAACATTTACGTAACTGTCGCCAGTTCGATGCTGTTGTAATATTTTGGAAATGTTTCTCAAGTTTTTCGCGGTAGTCATAGCTTATTGATGACCAGAAGATAATTTACTTTGCAAAAGGAAGCAAGATTACTTTCAACATGTTCCAACATAATCAACGAAAGAAAAAAATAATTTGCAGCCATTTATAGTAACATACACAATGAAGCTATTTACTGGTCCATACGTATATCATATACGAGCATTGTGTCTTGGCACACAGGGCTAGAGTGTTGTACTTAAGTAATCATTGCATGATTTTTTTTCTAAGCTGTGATTCTGCTTTACCTCTTCACACCACCAGGAATAAAATTTTACTTCAGACATGATGTACTGGAAGAACAATTTTAGAATCAAAATTTAGCATAATATCTTTTACATTTTGAGGAGATGATGTATCTTTGCTTTGATTATGGCTCGCTGCTTTAGAATTTAGTTTCCACTCTTCTCGCACTTTCAAATAATTTTGGAGTCATTAAGTGATACGGGGGGATTTTGCCATCGTTGTGTATGAGGAAAGAGTACAATTTTGATTTGTTTTCTCGGAAATGAAACTGCATCAACAGAAATAGAAGTTTTCTCGCACAACTTGAGTTTTTGATGAGATGTGCTTTCAGTTATTTTCAAGTTGTCTGATTGCCAAGCTGTTGGTAAGTGTTTCTAGAAGAAAAGGTGTATTATGGCACAAAATTCTTTCATGCAAGGCTGACTGAAATATGTGTAAACAGGAAGCTCTTTCTTCTTTCTTATGTTTAATTTACAGTCTCTAATTTTCTTTCTAAGACATAATATAGGTATTTTGTTGAATAATCTTCAAGTGTGTTGGGCACTATTTGAAGTTTTATGTATGAAATTAAATATGTGGACCTTTATGGCTTTTAGAAAAGATTTACTTTGTTTGCTTTTCAAGTGATGTGGAAAGGTCACTAGAATTCAATTCTATTTCTAGAGATGTGAAAGACTGGTTAAATTTAGTACAACTAGTGGGTTTCAGTATTTGAAACACCTAGAGCTAGAATAGTAAGGATGCAGAGTAATTGTCTTTTAAATTGTCTATAAATTCTTATTGTACATGTATTAAGGAGAGCATAATATTATTTGATTATGATATCTATCCATTCAGGAATGTAACCCTGACTTAGTTATATATGTGTACTAATTTGAGTACAGTCTACAGATTGAAGCTTTATTTTCTCTGTTTTTCAAGTAAGGAAATAGATTATCTGATGGTGGTGACTTTACATGTACATTGGCTTGTTTCCTTTCCTAGAAACCTGTTAGATCAGCATTATAGAAAGTAGTTTCACTTCTATCACATGACTGTATGAGTCAGCATAATTCAATTTTACTGGCTCAAAGCCATCAGGAATCACATTGATGAAGTGGTTGTGAGTTTACTGTTTCTCTAAACTGTAACTTAAAACTGTAGATTGAAAATTTAGGGAATTTTATGGTATCAAGTAAAAGCAGCAAAAATCAGGGACTTGTCTCTTTGTGCAACTTTTTGCTTGCCTTTCATCAACTTTTTTTTTGTTTCATGGATTCATATTGTATTTGTAAGAACTTGTTGATGAGGGTTACTTCCTTATGATATGGAAAAACCTTAAGCATGCAAAAACTTATTTCCAAAAAAGGAAACATTTGAAATTTGATCAGACATACATGTAATTCATGTTTGTTTGAGTTTAGTTTGAATATGTCAGAAGAATAGCAGTTACACAATTTGTACAGTTCCTTGTACAAATTTGACATATTAACTCATTACATACACCTTGAAAGAGGGATTTTAGAAGTAGCTTAATCAGTGCTATAAGTTTTCTTTACATGACACATTGATGTTTGGTACAGAAACTACCTTAATAACTTCACATGCGGCAAGTTTGACATAAAGATGAGGTTAACATTTATTTTGAAGTACATGTATTAGTTTTATTGTTAAGGTTATGGGTAAACTACTGGCTACTGACTTTTTTTACTGACAGTAGCTGTATTGGAATGCCAGTGGTGTGCTCTGTTGAGTTAGATGTCTTGATATTGATGTTGGTTAAATTGTTATAGCTTCTGTTTTTTTCCTTTTATTTTTATTGAATCCTAGTTTAGTCTTCTTGGCTGTGACATGAAATTCCTTTCAAAGTAAATTCAAATTGTAAAACTAAATTGCAAAACTTACTTTTCAGCTGAAACAGTAACGGATATTAATGTGATTGCTTATTATCAAATGCTGGCAGCTAATTAGAGCACTAACAATTTATGATATTCCTTTAAAATATCTGTAAATTTGTAACAATTTCAAGTCTAATTGTTCATTATTTCATTGCAGGATACCCATGGTATTTAGCATCAATTAATTTCCATAAAACTGCAGTGTGTGCATTAGCTAGCATCAGTCATGCCAATTCAAACGCCTCAGTGGACAGAATTTCTTCAGTGCCCAATATGTTACAATGAATTTGACAATCGTGACAGGCAGCCAATCAGCTTGGGATGTGGACACACATTATGTGTTTCCTGCCTGTCAAAACTGTCTAAAACACAGTGCCCATTTGACCAGGCTTCTGTGGAAACAGATATAACCAAACTTCCATACAACTATGCTTTGCTTCAATTAGTTGGAGTGGAAATACCAGACAACGGGCTTCCCCCAATTGACAGTGTTAAAGAAAATGCCACTTGTTATAGAAAATCAACTAGCTGTATTGAAAAGCTTGCCCTGTTCTTAAAACCTGTCAATGGCACTGTCAATGGTACAGTGAATGGAAATGTCAATGGCAGCACCTGTAATGGTTCCATCAATGGCAATGGGAATAACATCCTAACCAGACCCATGCAGCGGAAGCTTGTAACATTAGTTAACTGTCAAGTTGCAGAGGGAGATGGACGAACTAGAGCCATGCGTGCGGCCAGGAGCTTGGGAGAAAGGACAGTTACAGAGCTCATTTTATTACATCAAAATCAGCAACAACTTTCAGCTAATTTATGGGCTGCTGTGCGGAATCGTGGTTGCCAGTTTTTAGGACCAGCCATGCAGGAAGAAGCTTTAAAACTGATTTTGTTGGCTCTTGAAGGTGGAGAGGCTTTGTCGAGAAAGGTTTTGGTTCTTTTTGTGGTCCAGAAGCTGGAATCTCAGTTTCCACAGGCTTCCAAAACAAGTATCGGCCATGTAGTGCAGTTGCTTTACAGAGCATCCTGTTTTAAGGTGAGTTTTTACCCCCAAAAGGAGGATTGTAGTGGATTGGAAGTCTGTCAATTGAAAAACACAGTTCAGGGCTCGAAATTAACAGTAACTTGTTAACCAATGGTTAGTAATTTTCAACGTTTGGTTACTAAAAATGTTTCCAACTAACCCGACATGGTTAGTAAAATTTTCTAACATATTTAAATTATGTTATGGAAATAGCCTTTTTACAAATAAATACTAAGTTTTAGGAATGGTTTATGTGTTATTTACTTGCATTAGCTTGTTTTCTGTCTCAAACAATTTGTTCTTGCCATCTTTGGGATCGAATCGAGCTTTACAGCCATTTTGAGCGCTAAGGCCCTGAATGCGAATTTGTGTTGAATGTGGGGATCTAGACACAACTTTATCAGACCGCCACATTGCAGATATTTATTTACACCAAAATATTATTGTTCACGAGGTTCTAGCAGTTCGGCACTGAATTATGCAGAGTTCTTTAATCGTGGTAAATGAGAGGGAATTAAAATAGGTGCATAACTGTCAAGGTTTTTAAGGTAACCATTCAATTTCAGCTGCTCTTTAATTTGTCTTGGTTGTTATTAGCAAAATGTTCAATATTTGAGATATTGTAACTTGTGAGCTTGGATACCAAATTTTATAATTTGGATAGTAAAAAAGATGTCTACTAACCCAAAGGGTTAATGATCCAAAAATTAAATTCGAGCCCTGCAGTTTACATTGAGAGATTTCTCATGTAGGTTAAGGAGTGTGCTATGCTTATATCAGACTACATGTGCCAGTGGAGGTTTCTGTGTGATGCACATTATAAATGTTATTAATGTATTTTAAAAGTGTTGATCTGTCATTGTTGACACAATTTTTTCATTCAGGTTGAGAAAAAGAACAATGAGTCTTCTCTGATGCAGCTCAAAGAACAGGTACATGTTTTTTTTGGTTCTGAAGATAAAGGGGCAAAAATGATGGAAAAAGCTGTTAAGTGTTTTTTAGATGAACAGTGGATCAACCATTCAATTCACAGGATTGGTAAATTTTTCTAGTGAATAAACAATGGTTGTTGAATGTGTTGGTTGTAATTGTTAGACATAAAATCACTATTTTGCCTTTGTTGTTGTTTTTGTCATCAGTACCGCACCTATGATGCATTGCGGAAAGAACATGATGCACAGATAGTGCAAATCGCAACAGAAGCAGGGCTGCGCATTCTGCCAGACCAGTGGTCTTCACTTCTCTATGGTGACATGGATCACAAGTCTCACATGCAATCTATCATTGACAAGGTGTGTTGTTGAGTTACATGGCATCACCTTTAATGATATAAAACTGGGTACGCAGTTAAACCAAACCAGTTTAAAGTATATTTGACTTATTTCATTGTTGAAGAGGTGAATCAGCAGTATTATCACCATCACAATTAGTATTTCTGGTACAGGTAGACCTGTAAGGATCTTTCAAAGGAGTGGGAGTGTTAAAGGTTTCCTTCACTGTTCTACCGCTTGAAATGGTAGCAATACTGTCAAAACTGATTTGTTTTGTTTTTGTTTTTTTTTTTGTTTAGCTCCAAACCCCTGCCTCATTTTCTCAGAGCATCCAAGAGCTGATCATTGCACTGCAGAGATCTGGTGACCCTGGGAATCTCTGTCAAATGAGAGAACAGTTTGAATTACTGTCCAAGATTGATGCATCTCCAGGTTTGTGTGGACTCTCTTTTGCTAGAATGGCAAGTTATTGCATACAGAAGCACATGCAATTAGACATGTGAATGTCTATGACCTGCTACTTAATATTCATTAATAAAGGTATTTTAAGGTAAGCCTGTTTTGCCTGTTTTGCCCAAGTTGTTCACAATAGCTGTGAGATCATATACATTTAGACACCCCAGTTACACAACTACTTGTACTGTGCTTCAAGGCCATAAACAATTGCATTACTAGTTGAGATCACATGTCTTTGATTTTTTTTTTCCTGCAGAGGCAATGTGTCCAGCCTGGAATGAGCTAGAACAAGCCATGGTTTCAGTGCATTCTGTGGTCCATGGACTGGTTGATTTTTCAAAGGTGAGTGATTGTGTTTTTGTGTTTCAAAATAATACCACTCAATCCTTGATTTGACTGTCTTCTGATTACAAGAAAACTACTTGGAATAGAGAGTTAAAAAGCTGACGTTTCAAGTGTAAGCGCTTTGTCAGAGCGAAGGGCTAACGCTCAAAATGCCAGCTTTTTAACTCTTTACGGTGGCCAATTTACAATTTCAACTTAGTTGATAGTACCAAATTACCTTGTTACCCCCATTGACGCAGCATCACAGTTTCTTTAGAAACTTACCCCCTTTATTTACTTGAAATAGAGACAGGATGATCTTTGCAATTCATTGAACATCTGCAGGCCAATTGTTGAAAAAGTACATAGAAAACATCAGATACATACAGAGGCAGCAAGGGCAACAGTTGAATATGAAGGAGTCTATTTTGTTTGAAGGACAAGTCTTGCATTTGAAAAATAGATCATAACTGTTAGTAACAGCTTTAGTCATCTAAAAAGTGATGAATGATCCCAAGCACAGCTTACATATTTCTGTTTTTTTTTTTTTAATATTAGTCACATGGCAGAGGAATGAAAGGATCAGGTGATCCACCACAAGTAAGTACAGTGTGAAATTTTTTTCTTGTAAATTTCTCTAATCTTAGTGATCTTGCTTTAGTCTTGCGCACTGTACATGTGGTCTCATTTGTGCATCAACTCAGGTGTATTTGAAACTTATCTTGGTTATCCTTACGACTGAAATGATTTGCCTGGTATATACATTGTTTCTATTCAGGAAAATAGCAAAATTTTTTTCTCTCCCTTTTAGCCACACAACAACAAGTTTAAAACTAGCATGTGCAGGGATCACACCAGGGGAGGATGTCCGAGAGGTACCCACTGCACATTTGCACACTCAGAGGAGGAGCTAGAGAAGTAGGTGTTGTTTTGATTCTCTTCCATAAAGTTTGCAAATTTGTTTCTCAGGTCCAACTATTAATGTTTGGGCAGCATTATCCTAAAGTAATATTTTGAAATTCTCCAATTAATAAAGATTTTAATGTGAAATACAGAAGAACTATCACTGACTAGCAATATCAGCTATGTTCCAATGATCTTGGGTTTCTTATTGTGTTTTTGAAAAATGATAAGAATAGCTGATGTAAACATATCAAACATTATCTTTTTCAACAGTCAGAGCTTGAGTAGTAATCTGTGTGCTTCTGTAACGTGTGTCACTTTTGCTCCCAGATTATCTTTTTCAACAGTCAGAGCTTGAGTAGTAATCTGTGTGCTTCTGTAACGTGTGTCACTTTTGCTCCCAGATTATCTTTTTCAACAGTCAGAGCTTGAGTAGTAATCTGTGTGCTTCTGTAACGTGTGTCACGTTTGCTCTCAGATTATCTTTTTCAACAGTCAGAGCTTGAGTAGTAATCTGTGTGCTTCTGTAACGTGTGTCACTTTTGCTCCCAGATTATCTTTTTCAACAGTCAGAGCTTGAGTAGCAATCTGTGTACTTCTGTAACGTGTGTCACTTTTGCTCCCAGATTATCTTTTTCAACAGTCAGAGCTTGAGTAGTAATCTGTGTGCTTCTGTAACGTGTGTCACTTTTGCTCCCAGATTATCTTTTTCAACAGTCAGAGCTTGAGTAGTAATCTGTGTGCTTCTGTAACGTGTGTCACTTTTGCTCCCAGATTATCTTTTTCAACAGTCAGAGCTTGAGTAGTAATCTGTGTACTTCTGTAACGTGTGTCACTTTTGCTCCCAGATTTGGTAAGAGAAGAGCTCAGAGACCTCGCCCCTCACCCGTTGCCAGAGGACCAGGACCTTCTGTAGCACCAGATCAGTTTTCACCCCTTGAAAATGGTTGTGATGGCAGTCCAACTGCTACCCAGGCTCCTGCAAATGGTGTCATTGGCTCTGCAAGATCATCTCCTCTTTATATTTCTTCTGGTGAGAATTTTTGTGAGTTTATTACATCGTAGTCCCTGACTTTTACCCAGCTCCCTTTTCCCTCATGGCCAATTCAGCATAAATATCATTTTGTTAGCCCTTTACATGAATTGCCCCCTAAATCACTTAAGCTTTTGTTCTACGCACCCTTTCAATTTATCTTTGCAATTCATCACTGAAATGACACTGATCTGTTCTTCAGGTGATGTGCCACAGTCCACTAATTGTTTTGTACCTCAAGCTCAAATGGGTCGCCGTGACAGCCAGGAACAAATTCTAGCACACAGAATGAAGCAAGTATCCTTGCATTCAAATGAAACTCAGTATTCAAATGGCTACTGTGGACAACGTCCCGCTTATGATCACTATGTGTCTTCACCTGGAAGGGACAGGCAGCAGTTTATCCAATACTATACTCCTCCGGCTGGTCATCCTTCAGGTTCATATTCCAGTGTGGTTTCAAGGGGGAAGGATGTTGCAGTGGGTAAGAGATATTTCTATTTTTCATGAAATGGTTGTTGACACATGGCATGGAGAAGACTCACAGTAGAAAGTCACAACCTTGTAATTCACATCAGAAGTGACTTCATCTTGAGAGAAATGAGAACACTGTATTTTTGTTAAATGTTCTGTGTTATGCTATCAGCTTGATTTATGCAGTAACTGAAAGAGGAAGAAGGTATTTATTTGGAAAGGATAACTGTTTACAGCAACTTCTTGGAGCAGGGAGTCATTTTCCCTGTCAACAAGACAAGTCTAAATCCATTAACCTCCTAGAGTGGCTAGCATCAAATTTCACCCTTTGGATCACCCTTGGTTCATCTTTGAGTCAGATGTCAAGGTCATGAGAATAAAAAAATGTTGTTTAAGGCTGTGCTCTAAGGAAAACTGAATGGAGCCCAGTGCTTTGAAACTGTGAAATCCAGGGTGCTCAGCATATGCTTTGTATGAAAAAACTAAGATTCCTGAGCTGCCCCAGAGCAAAAGTAAGGTGTCAGGGGCCACTGGGCGCTGCTAGACCACAACCTTGTTGTCAGCTGAAGAAGTGTTTTATTATTGAAGAAATGCTCCATATCAGTACTCTAGTAAAATCACATGTAAGGTAGAACGGAAGGGAAAACACCTCTATGTACAATTTTGGTAGGGTTAAAGCTGTTTTTCCCCCATTTGTACAGGTGTTTTGACTCCACCACGAAGTTCTCCTTTGACTGTCCATGATGAAGGATTGAATGGCATGGGGAACGGATTGGCAAATGGATTGACAAATGGGATAACTAATGGCATGCCAAATGTTTCAACAAATGGCATATCAAATGGCCACATTGACCATCACATGGGCAGGGTTGAACATCCTCCTCTTTACAATGGTAGACACAGACTTCGAGCCTTGCCTCCTCAGCCTGCAAGCTATCACACCTATGATCATTCATTTGGTGGCTTTTCCTCAGACTCGACACCTTATTACAGGTAGATTGCCACTGCTTGTCAAGGACATGTAGCAATGTTCAGATTGAACTTTAATGTGCATGTGTGTTTTTTAGTTTTGTTGAATGAAAGATTTAAGGATTGAATGGCAAGATGTTGTCCCTTGGTGTTCACCCTGTCTGGGGCTGACTGAAATGACGGATTTGGCTGGACCGTTGTGATTATTAACAAAATTCTGTAAATTGAGTAGTGTTGTTAGCCAGTTGTTGGAGATATTAAAAGTCTTTTAAAGTTAATTGAAAATGTCCTAAAACTTCTGAATATTGCAACAAAATCAAAACACAACTTTCATGTAGATTAACATGTTTATGAGGAGGTTTAATTTCCTGGACAACAACTCTCCTGCATTCAAAAGAGTTATGCATTTAATATGCGATTTGTATGGGATTAGAGTTTGCAGACCATTAGAGTTCTTAGACCAGTATTTTGTGGTAATCCTTTTACTCAGACACATCCTCATGCATTCTTCCTTTTATCTTTCATTGCCTTTGTGAACAGTGCACCACAAGTAGACTACTACAGTTCGCACTATTGTGGGAGACAGTTGTCGTATGAACAAGTTCACGGTGTCGTGGGGTACCCATTTGCACATCGCGGTGATTACCCCTACTCAAGGATAATTGACTACCCCGATGCTATGATGCACAGAGGAATTTTACAGCCAAGGAGTCCTTATATTCCATCGGATGTTAGTGATGAAAAGGTTTGTTCATCTGTTTATGTTTTCCATGTTCACTCTGTAATCTGATTCTCTCCGAGTGTGAATAGTCACAACAAACCAGCTCTACATATGGACAGTGCTTTCCAGTTTTTGCTTGTCATTTCTTGTTAAAAGTCAGCATATTTTCCCTTCATCTGTATTTCAGTAATGTAGAATGCCTTGTCAACATTTTCCCCTTGTAAATGATGTTATTTGTGCGAAATTTTTACAGAATGACATATTATCCCAGCGGAACAGCGATGCAACCCTTGACTTTGATCCCTCAGAAGTTTGGAGGAAGGACAATGACAGCGGTGTCAGCTGTGGTTCGCCACTAAGCCACTCTCCTGCAGCTAGCCAGTCGTCAAACTCTAGCTTGTCACCAAGGCAACAGTCCCCAGTGGGGTGGCAACATGGTAATGATACTGACATTTGGAGTAATGAAGACAGCAATGGTTTCCCGTCGCCTTTAACCATTACTGACTCGACGCAAATTTGGAGCCCACCTCGTGGAAGTGAGGTATTCTTGAAATGCAATTAATCTTATGTTTTGAATCGTTGTGAGCTTTTAGCAAAGGAATTGATCTTAAGACTTTGTAGCCTTTGTGTGGTTGTCTTAAACTAATTTACTCAATTTATTTTTAGCATTCTCAGGTTCGCAAGTTATGGCACCCACTTTATGACTTGAATGATGAATGGTCGAGGTAGGCATTAAGAGGTTCCGTTTTTGTTTAAAGTTATCTAGTGGGGTGGCGGGGAGTGAACGGATTGGGGAGGGGAAGGTTGTGTACTATTAGAACCCGCTGTTGGCGAAGGAAGCGTTAAACCACTTTAGACACAAGATAATTGCATTTAGGTAGTATGGAAGGATGTTTGGATTTTTCTCTTTCTGAGTAATATTTAAACCTAGGATAGGTAGAGTATTTTAGCACATCTTGCAAGCTGCCTACATTTGTTAATTGTTACATAACGGTGAAAATGTCTTTCTTGATAAAAGCGCACGATTCTAGTGGTTTGCGTTTGTTCTTCTTCACCAGCCAAGAGGAGCAGATCAAGAAAGATGAACAGTTTGCACGAGCTCTTCAGGAGCAGCTAAAGCAGGGTGAAACAACATCCCCTCCGGAAACAAGAGGTAGCGAGTTGCCATCACAGAGCCGTGACCCACAGGTGAGTGAGGAGGTCAGGGGGGGGGTGCATTTACGAAAGCTCGTTTGTCTTGTATAACGCGGTTTCAGTAAATTCAAATTTTGATCGTCAGTAGTATTTTCAAATTCTTTACGACACGCTAATTTGTCTTCGAGGTGTTGTGTTATCTTCTCTACCAGAATTTTTTTCAGCAAACTGTGATTTCTCCATGTAATCTGTCTCTCACTGTCCCCTCCAGGATGTTCCCGACCGCGGCTTGACTATTGACAGCTTGGAAGCCGAAGCCGAACTGAAGCGAAGAAAACACGAGGAACACAGGCGCCTGCTACAGGAACGCCGACAACTTCTCCAACAACAAGAGCGAGAAAAACAGGAACGTGACGACCGCAAACTTGCGGAAGAATTGGCTCTCCGAGATGCTCAGCAAGCCGGCATAGTACCAGATCCTCGCTGTATCGTGAAGCCATCTTTTGCTAACGTGATCTCCCGCGGGGCCCCCATGGGGCTTGGCTTTAGTGGCAAGGGGAGTGATATTCCAGGCGAGCATGACCCATTCCGTGGGTTGAGCAGCTACCGCAGCTCCTGTGCGTCCTCATGGGCCGGAAGTGATGACGTCATGGATGCTTCAAAGGTGACGTCAGGCTGTAATGGAGATATCCGTGTGCAAGAGTGAAGTGTTGTTAATGTTTAAATAAGAATCGTCATTGTACAAATTGCTAGCTTGAATAATAACTTGCAAGAGTATTGTGGATTATGCAAAGAATCAAACCCTTGTCGGTGTTTTGTGGAATGTGTTCATTTTTTACTTTAGCTTGATTATCTCCCAGTCTAACTGGATATTTCGTCTGGTCTTTTCGTAATCGTTAAAATGAAAGCACTTTTAAAGTGCCGGTCAGTAGTTAAGGTTTTCAGTGAAATGTATTCATGGTTCGTAGGAAACTGGTTGTACAAGCTTGAATATGGATTCTGTAAGCGTAATGATAGTGCCAGAACAAGTTTCAGAAGGTTTGATTCCGAATTTTTGTGCTGACTTTTTTTATGATAATCGGGGGTTTGAATAGTCATTCACACTTCAACTCTTTCCCAGTCTCTTTCAATCTTGTTTTTGGAAGGGAAAAACTGGAAACGAGGTTGAGCCTTAAGCGAGAATGTTGTGATGCTTGAACTGTTCACGATCAAAATACTTCAGAGCGGATGATTATCACGTGATGAGACTGCACGTAAACTAATGTGATTGACATCAAAGGGTGAACTTTTTATTAATACAAACAAGGACAAGATCGTTTGAATCAAAATGGTTAATTTTGTTTGATGTAAATCTATCTTGAAGAAAACATAATTTAGTGTTGAAGATGAAAGGTCAGTCACTGTTCTCTGCTTGGATCTCAAAGGCCTAAGCGAAGTACAGGTTTCCTCTCCATTCTGAAAGAACATTGGGAAAAGAAAAAAAAGTGGTAGAAAGCTCAAGAATGATTTGTGTAGACGAATGCTTTTTAATCTTTAGAAGGACAGCGACGTTTGTTGTCGTTGATGAATTAAACTGGACTCTTGTCTGGTGAATAAGTGAAAAGCATGTCTTTGTGTATTCGGCCCAGGTGGCGGAAGGAGATTTGAGAGGAAAAATCGTATTATATTAGCTCTTTCACTGACCGAAGGCATTTGTATATTCTTTCAAGAATCGTTTGATTAACTCTTGACTACCGTGGTTTCCATAGATAAATATGTATCGTAAGTAAAAAAAAAAATTACTGTGATTTGACTTGTTGACAATTTATCGTGTCGTGTAAAACAATGGATGTATTTCGTCATTTCAGATAGAGTTAGTATTAACGAAAAGAAACTGTCAATTAACGTTGTCAAGTTATATTTTTGGCTAGGTCAGCGATGAGATTGTCTTGTTTATTTTATTTTAGTGATTTAGTATTGCCATATCTTCTGTATGTTACTTTTTTCAAACATTTGCTCAATGGCTGTCCAAATTTTTGGCATTGTTAATTTTTTAAACTTGTTATTGCTATTATATATACATATTCATGTCGTGAGGAAGTGGCGATGAATTCGTTTGGTAGTTAATGTTGAAACTCGGTGATGAGAAAATGTGTTTTGTTTTTCTTAGCTGTATATTTATATTGCGTAGTTTGGGTTTGAGTTGGGGGAGTTTAGCTGTTAAATTTTAGATACAATCTGCTCTGCTTTTTACCGTGAGTGCTTTCTAAAGTTTGCTAGGAAACGATTTAAGTTAATGAATTAAGCCAATCTTCACACAGAAAAAAAAAGCAACCAACTCTCTTTAAACTTTGGTTCATGTTCTTAAAAAAATAATCCCTTTGAATTCAGGTTCTCAAATGCGTGTTAATAATACTCAAGAGGGTTTGAGATTTTGATATTTAACGAAATACCTCAGTGGCGTTAATTATTATTCGCTCTGATCTGTAGTGATGGAAGGGTTTGTAATTCTAAGAGTGGCGATTTGAAGGCACTACTCAGCCTATTAATTATTGCTATTAAAAAGAATTATGTATGATATTAGTACCCATTAGAAATATTAAATTGTAGGTCACGACAATTTTGACCCCAAAATTTATTTAGCGCCGCAAGTGCGCAAGTGTGCGGTTCGCCACATTTGGACAACTTGTCGTTTCTTTTCGTCGAATGGCTTTCATTTTTTCCCAGGGGAGGAGAGACTCCAAGTTGTGAATGAAATCAAATGGAAGCCTAACTGTCGTAAAGCAACGGGTTGTTTGCGTCTTAATTATCATGATTCTAGCGCGAAGAAAAAAAAAAAAAAGCACCAAACGATTGTAAACGCGTTGTTATAGTATATTTTAATGTACAATAAATTTGTATCTTGTTTACCACTGGAAAAGGCTAATAAAAGTTGGTGATGTGAGTTCAAAGGTTGTGCTTTGATTTGGCTTTAAGAAGCAAAATGGGTTTTTGCTAGAGATACGCTTTTAGTCCTTTCTGCCAGAGGGAAAAAAATTTAAATTCCGTTCCCGTTTGTCTTCAATTTTCGGCACTGTTGAAAACGGAGTTAAAAGTCGTCTCCTAAATATATCCGCCCTGCATTTGTTACAATAAAGCACGCGACTTATGAATTGCGAATTATGTCAGACGCAGTGTTCTAGAAAAGGAAGTAGGCGTGAACAAAACAGGCCTGATTGATGGCCTGTGTTGTGAACGAGTAGCTCGTGTTTTTATTTAACTGCAAATATAATCAAGACTTCTAAATGACTTATTGACTTCATCGTGAGTGATTTTTACTGCTTTCTTCTCAAAGATAATCTAGTCAATCTAACGTTTCTTACCAATCAATTTCCAGGTTATTTCCATTGGCAATGGCTTACCTCCTAGTTTTCCACGTTGTATAGAAATGAATTTTGTGGCCTGCACAACTGGAGAGACTTTGCTCGTTAGCTACGGTCTAAGGGCGTGGTTGCGAGCACACGGCCACGCAAAGCTATGTCACCCACTCTCCTGGTACACAATAAACCTGTTACATCTCGAACAAGGCTAAGATCACTGTAGAAACATTGTGGAATCCCACTAAGCCCTACATCTATCCACGGCACGTTATACATTTTTTAATTTCTTTCTTTATATCCCTCTTAATCAGTCCGTAAAAAATGGGATTCAGGGCAGAGTGGACCAGTAAGAACAGCCACGACAAATTCATGGTGGTGTGAGCCGAGTGAGTCATAGCTTCTGTTTTGCTGAAAGATTGTTTAAAATGAAGATAGGCTGCAAAGAGCCAGCACCCGACAAACACCAAGATCACGATGCCAAGCACTGTGATAGACCGATCGTGATTTGGGTGTCTCGGTTTTGTCTTGAGAGGTGCAGTTTTACCATCTGTGGAGCGTTCCACATCAGATTCTATTCCAACACTTGACAATTCACTCTGCGCTCTACTTCTTGTGCTTGCCACGGTCAAATTCGGTGTACTGAATTCTGTTTCTCTCAGAACATCTTCTGCAGACATAGTAACGGAGTAGTTAAAGTCCACTTGATCTTTGATGCGCTTTTCCTGTTGCTTGTGTCTCTGTATGATGCACACGATTCGCAAGTAGGCCAACGGTAACACAATGCAAGGAAGTCCCACAAAGAGGAGTGTTTCGACGATGGCAAACGCTGTCATTCCTGTCCTCTGATCCTCAGGACTCTTCAGCAGATAGGTGAAGTGAAGGAGGGTCAAGACAAAAGGAACCAACCAACATACCAGGATAGGGATCAAGTATTGTTTGATTTCAATTACAACAGGATACGTTAAAGGCCGAGTGACAGATTTGTAACGATCCCAAGTCACCAAACATAAGCACAACAGTGAGGTATAGACGAAAAATTCGTACATCGCCAATTGGATCTCCCTGGAGCAAGTTGTCCAGTACGTACACAGTAACTCAGGTGGGGTTACAAACAAGCCCACGCAAAGGTCTGCCAGGTTCAAGGACAGGACAAACTTGTTTGACACGTTGCGTCGCAGCTTCCGCCTTGTTACGAGGAGAAATATCAGTGGGGTATTTCCGAGAATCGTAAAAATTGCGAGAAACACTCGTATAGTCCAGTACAAGCGGTTCGTCGTAGCATTGAACGAATGAAGACGCTCTGCCGAGGGCTCCGCGTAATTTGAAGAGTTTGAATCAGTTGCCATTTAAATGATTGATCCAAGTTCTGAAGCAAGAAACAGATCACTGCATAAGATATTACCTTGATGTCTTTGATATTTGAAGAACTTTTTTATGATAATACTTGGGCTGAAATCAATAAGATGTTAAGAAAGTTGGTTCAAAAAACGTACTTATCCTGGTAATAGAAGACAACTAGAGAATAACGAATGGTTTTTTTGCATACGTTTGCTCTGAACAAAGAGCTTGTCGTATTACAATAACATTCAGGCTCCACCTGTTCCCCAGAGCATAATTCTGTCTCCAAAGCAAGTAGAATCACAAGCAGAAAACGCTATGTTTAAGAACTGAGTCGATGGTTTAAACTTTACAAACTCTTTACGGTGCCTTGGCCAATATATTTAAATTATGATATGAACTCAGTCGATAGAACCGCTCGATAAAAGCAAATTGTCTCGTAATAACCCTCGCCGACGTGGCACCACAGTTTCTTTAGAAACTTAACCTCTATTGAGGTTAAGTTTCTAAAGAAACTTAATTCTTAATTAATTCAGGAAGCAGGGTTGGCGTAGTGGTGAGAGCGCTTGCCTTCCACCAATGTGTCCAGCGTTCGATTCCCGGACCCGGCGTCATAAGTGGCTTGAGTTTGTTGGTTCTCTACTCGGCTCCGAGAGGTTTTTCTCCGGGTACTCCGGTATTCCCCTCTCCTCCAAAACCCATGCCATCATCATTTGAATTTATTTGCATTTGCACACGACCCCACAAGCTGTTCAGCTTTAAAAATTATCGTGTCTAAATAAAGGTGTTATTATTATTATCATTATTATTATTATCTATTCGTTATGTTTAATAGTTTGGCTAGTAGATATGACAAGCATTGAAAGCCCACACAGAACAAAGTCAGAGACATAGAAGACAGCTGATAGGAATTACTAGCCTGCTTTCGCCCTTCGAAGTACATTTTGCTTGTACATATTTTTAACGGGTTTTGTTTGCTAAGACGGGCAAGTTACTGGAAGAAAATAAGAAACAAGAAAAAAAATAGCCGTCAATTAGATTTTACTACCGATTCTAATTTTTTGGGAACCCTGACTTTCACAAAGCAAAAACGAAAACGTTGCTTGCTTTGGGGACAGAATTCTGTTGTTCGAATAAACTCATTATCAATTGTGCTGCTGTGTTGAACATATGCAAATACATAAGACGATGGGATGTTTATCAGAACATCAAAAAGAAGAAATTGATTATGATGAAAACCTTTATTAGTTATGACTAGTGGTTTTCACAATATTGGTGTGGTTTTGTCTAAGAAACATTAGACGCTGCCTGGGCTGATATACGCTAATCAAGGGTGTGGAAAGTTATACGCGCTCTATTTTGAATGCTACTGAATTAATATTCTTAACTTTTAATTTTAATTTTTCTTATAAATTTCGTATGGTTTACACTTGAATAGTGCGCCGACACTAATGGAATCGTTCTCTAAAAATAGATGCGCCCAACTAGTTGCATTCAAATTAGCAGAGTAAAGTTTTTCGATACAGGCCCAGTTTCATGATCATTCTCTGCCTTCGAATCGTGTTCTTGCTATGCTAGAATTTCAATTTACAATATTTTTAAACAGCATCAATCATAATCATAGTCCCGCGGAAGCGCTGGGATTGAGATATCTTACCATCCTTGTTGATATGTTTTTGTTGAAGATCGAATATAAGAGAAACCCTGGTTAGCACTATTGGCCACTTTTTTTTAATCTCCCTTAAAACTTTCTGCAACTCTATGCGAACAGTGGGTGGGTTCTTTCACGTCTTTTATATCTAAGACACAAACGTGCGCCTAAATGCTACAGTTCTTGGCCAGGAGGCGTAAAACCACTTTCATATGTTCATATGTTATTGCGAGGACAGAAATTCTCAGTTTTTCAAGATTCCGAGTGTTGATCCAGTTTGAGCTCCAAGCATCGACCACTCGTGCGACATAACGGCGCTCCTCCACTTTATCGATTCGAACTTCGTTACTCTTTTTCTCAGATCTACCTTTTGAATCATCAACCTTATGTCTAGGGCTTCATTTGAGGCCAGTTTACAATATAAACCCAGTAGAATACCCCTAATGACGCGGCACCACAGTTTCTTTAGAAAGTTACCATCCTTTATTCATTTGTCATTTCTGGGCACTATAAAAGAATTGTTCTCAATTTAGGAAACTCGCCGCATTCGAATGAATTTATTTACAGTCTCAAGTGGCGCCAAATCTCTTATCAGCTTAAAAGCTTATCCTTAAGATGTCGATATACTGACTCAATCGTTCAACTTCAGCTACAAACAACATGCAGTTGTATTACAATACAAAGTTTACTATCATCATTCTGAAGCTATAATCGACTTATCCAGCCACTGAAAATAAGCTTGTATCACCTGGCAAATTTACCTTATAGAGCGAAAGAAAGAAAATGGAAATTAAGGAAAAGGTAAATGTTTATTGAGAAACTAAAAATTGTAGCTTGAGGGAAGAATTATCCGGGATCATGAATGTAGCCAAAAATAGGAGGACCTTAATTAGAAGCTGTTAGAGCCATCATGTTGAATTCATAAAGCTAGTGTTTATTGCTTTTAAAATTAAAAAGTTTAAAACACTAAAAGTGACTCTGACGAACGCAATTTCTGGACTTTCTTCCTTACAGTAAGTATCAATAATAGCGACTTCGTATGATTTTTTGAAATGGGAGTGAAAAACATTGCCGTTATCAGTCGGCATTAATGAATTTCTGGGACAATGTCCACTGAATTTACCGCGTGCTGCATATAACACCGGCTGTCATTCTGCTGCGCCGTGTAGAAAACGTCAAAAAGAGACTAAATATTAATTAAGAAGAACGCCGCAATATTTCAAATGGTTAACATGTCTTGTTTGCAATAAGCTTTTAGCTTTACCCTTCAATGTAATGTCAATCATTGTCCGTTTTCACAAAGACAACAGGACCACTTTAAAATTTAATTCCAGTAGTTGTTAATTGTATCAATTATTGGTGACATATGACTCATTTCTTTTTAAGACACAGTCAAAGGGACTTTAAAAGTCGACAACTCAGTAGAATGTTTAATTGTAGCTGTCGGCAAGTGGCATGAAAATGATTAAAAATTCAAAATGTCTTCTAAATCTGAAATATTTTCTGACCGTACGTGACTCAATGGAAAATAATAGAAATACTGTCGTCCACAACCTCTTGAGGTTTCACCTCTTAGGGCTTTTTTGTGGATTTTATCGTTTCAGATTTTTAAGCAAAATGGCAAAACATGTGACTCGCAAGCTTGAATTTTCCTCCTCAAAAATACTGTCTATTGAGTGATTCATTAGCACAAAAAGACAAACAGAGCAACAGCCTTTCCTGGAAGTCAAATGTACGATTTCAAAATTTGAATGCTATTACCATTTCCAGTTCTTCTTTAACTTACGATAACCCGTTCCACGGCAACAGAAAGCTTTGGACAGAATGTTCTCCTACACATTATCATAGGTGCTAAATTTCAATCTACAGCCGACTATTATTCGAGAGGGCATAATTTATTCGATGGATATACAGCGACAAATATTTGGCCATGAGAAGCCGTTAGACCAGTCAAGGAAGAATGAAATGAAGATATTTGAAAATTGACGCCGATAAGAAAATTTAGGAACGAAGCAAATTGAGCAAATATCTTTTAACAGACGTTGGTAACATTTATTTTGCGAAACGAGTTTTCCTGCGCAGATAGAATTATATAATGCCAAATACCTGTTACGAAAAACGATATGGACGAAAATTTGGGGCTTTAAAAGGGCTGTCTTATGCACAAAAAAGCAAAAGAAATAAACCCACCTTTTTGTCGAGGAAGCGCTTACAAAACCTGTTTTGGCGATACACAAAACACTCCGTACTTGACACGAATTGTTATAACTTTGGTTCATCCGCGTGTCACATTAAAATTAGACAGCAGCAAAATCAATTGGTCGGAGTTGTCACGTGGTCAATAATAACAGCCTTCCCACTTATCAGTCCACTTACTTGGGATGATATGTCTCTTCACTCACCGAAAGCCAGGTTTTTTATTCTAACAACTCTCTGAAAATTTACTTAAAACTTTCACCCGCGAAAAAACATTTCAATTTTACCCTTTATCTTCAAAACGTTCAATTTTACATGGTCGTGCAATGAATAATTTTTTCGTTCGTGATCTTCAATCAAAACCGCAAGATTTAAAATTCATACACAAAATTGAGATTGAATACATTTGAAACCAACACCTGTAATTATTTCCCAAAGCATACTACTTTGTTTGAATTATTCATCGGAAACATGCTAGACAGAATGATAACAGAGGAGAATTCTATTTTTAGTAAATGACAGCACTGGTGACTGAATGGGGAGAATTGTCTTACCCATTCGAAGGAAAATTATTATTTGATATAACACAAGAAACTTCTTATTCATCAACAATAAAAATGTGGCAGTCGTAAGGAAGCATTACGAATCAAATCGTCCTTAGGAGTGTGAACTTTTGGACCCTTTGGTCAAACCGGTGAAAAATAAATAGATAAAATTAACTTGTTTTTATTATTTCTGGATAAGGGTGGCTGAGTATTTAGTCAAAGCATCCAAAAACGATTTAGATAAGAATTGTGGAAACTTGGTTTTTCAAGATTTGGCCTTTACTGATGCTGGCAAAACATGTCTGACTTCTGAAGCCCTGTCTCGAATACTTTACGTAGTTCAATTCCTTGTCGGCTTGTCATTTCTTATCCCGATGTCATTTATTTCTTCTTTTAATTTCGCCGAAATCAAGAGGGAAAAAGTCTCCAACTTATTTTTTTCGTCCTTACTAAATAGTTCTATTCGCCAGGCCTGAGAATTTTTGTTGCAGATCGTTCAGAACGAATTTCTAGGAAAAGGTAAGGGCCTGATAGCAAAGTGACTGCCATCGCATTTGGAAGTCCTTTCTCTTTGATACTGAAAGAGATGAAGCCACCGTTGTAATTAAAGGTTGCATCACGCCCTATGAATCATTACTGTTACTATCATGAACATTTTATCGAGAATCAAAAGAATAAGAAACGAGATCACTGCGAATTTTTCCTCCCGTGCCCGCTTCTAGCCGTTTAGGACTTGTAACCAGTCTCGTTACCAGTGTCCCACAGACACTGGGAATTATTTGCATTTCACTTCCGCAGTTCATGGCTTCAAATGCTTCTAGAGGCTAAATTTTAATAATTCATAAGAGTTGAACAAATTTTTTGGCTATTTCTGAAGATCTGGTGGTTGGTTGTAGTGAGTTTCATCGAAGAAGTCGCTGAAGCCTTCGCGAATAACATGGTAAGTTTCTGCTAATTACTTTCTGACCTCTAGAAGTACGTGAACTCGACTTCGATGCAAGCAATTTGAATTCTTCAGGCCAGTGTAAAGATAATTACAATTTTTTCTCACTGCAAGAATACTGGATACCATGTATGAGGGTCTCCATGGGGTGATGGCGTTTACGGCTAACGGTTTGGCCTATTCACGGCTCACGGTTAATATCTTTCCATTGTGGTCACGGTTTAATTCTCGCACCCAAGGGTTAAATATCTTAGCCATTTTACGGCTAGCGAACCGTTAACCCCATTGAGATCCTCATGTAAGCCACAAAGTTTTAAGAGTTGAATTATTAGATTTTGATCCCGGTTTCGCTTTTGAAACGAGAGACTAATTTTTCGATGTCAGGGTTAAACATGCTATTCGACTTTACTGTCACGCAAGCGGGGCATAGATTTCTGTTTAATAAACGTTACAAAAGGCTGAGACTGAGCTAACATTGTGTATCGCAGGACCCATGTTGATAGCAGTTTTTTATAACTGAATTGGCCATCCTGCATAAATATGTTATTATTATTATATATTATTATTATTATTATTATTATTATTATTATTATTATTATTATTATGGTATACATGTGTATTGACGTTTACGTTTATATGCATCCTGTGAAACCTGTAACCTCATCACGGTTTTTTAGTGAAAGGGGGAAGAATAGCCCTAAGTTGTTTGATTGTGAGCCCTAAGTTGTTTGATTGATACTGAGCTCAGCGGTTCGTATTTTGATAATGGTACATTAATTTCAGGCTACGCACTTGAGATGAATTGGCTTTAATTTTTTTGGAGAAAGATACCACTGATATCCCACGTTTTAATGCTATACCATGGTATATTTGCCGTATCTCTAGTGATCATGAAATAAGATGACGTGACAGAAATTCGTGTTCGTGGTACGGTTATTTTCACTTGCTGTGTTCCATTTGCGACCACCTAACTCACTTTCATTTCACTGAACTTTTATTTTTTTTCGATTATGATGACCATGGAAAAAAAAACGTTTGATTGTGGTTATTGACTGACTGTAAAGATCACTCGTACCTCGATAGATCATCAATAGCCCGGGTCCGTTTAACCCCCTTAACCCCCCCTAAAGGTGATTAGCATCTTAATTCTCCTTACAATATCACCCGTGTATCAAACAGTTAAGGTCACAAGAATATAGGAAATGATCACCAACTAAAGAAGCTCTTGATTGTCAGTCAAAATTCTCCTTGTCAGCACCTTAGGAAATGTATAGAGAACAGTATGGAGAATATGCATACTGATGTTAAGTGTAAAGGGTTAATGATGCGTCGACGTCAAGTTTACCTTGCATCACCGAGTGGATTCGCCTCGTCTCTGGCTTATGAAAACTTGATTGAGTTCAATCGTTTGACACAAGAATAACCAGAGTTATATCCAAATTAGTTAGCAAAATTTAAGTGTTGTTGGCTGACCTTTAGTCTCCCTCGCAGCCGTTTTTTTTGGATGTCACGCAATGCTCCCCCAAAAGAACGGCTGCTGACAACCGAACTACATTCCTTTCTCCGAATTGGCCAATCACAGCTCGGGTTCCATTTTCAGGAACCTTTTCGCGCCAGACTCACCTTTTGAGACTCGTCCAATCAGATATCGTTTTCTACCGCGATCCTCATGTGGAAAACACAAGACAAATGGCGGTGCTTGAAGGAGCTTTTCGCAAAGCGTCGTCAAAGTTCAAAATTTTCGAGCTTAAAGCTCACCAGAAGCTTGCAATTAAAAAAGTTTTAGTCGAGAAAGAAGATGTTTTTGTTAAGTTGCCTACAGGATCCGGGAAATCGTTAATATATCAAGCACTCCCGCTCGTGTTTGACCATGTTACCGATGAAAGTGGTCATATTATTGTTATTGTTGTTGCGTTGTACCAACGTGCGGAAACACTCGATAATTCGGGCCGATTTCCTGTACCGGTGATAAGAAGCCACGAACATAACTAATCGGGTTCGCTCCAGCTAGCAGCGGACTGGCAAATGAAGAAGTACAAGTAGTGTAGGAGACGTTGGCCGACCTAAATTGCAGTGTTCTCGAAGCTTCGCCCGGTTTGTTGACGGCAAGCACGCGCTTTTTTCCTCCTGATCTCCATCTGTAGGTCGAAGCAAGCGTTTAGCCCTTGGCCTAGATTGAAAGGCGTCTTGTATTTCCTTTTGATTATTGATGTAATTTACTGTTTCTTATATATTCTGACTTTTATAATCTGTAGTAACCTCTTGAAATAGTGCGAATAAAGAGTTTCAGTTCAGTTTTTAGCTTCTTCTACTTTCTCAGTTGCTCGCTGAAACTTTAACAACCGCTCAAACAATCTAGCGTTCGTGTCGTTGGCGTAGCAGTTGACGTCTATGTTAAGCGTAGATTCTATAATTTCAACGAAATTGTGAGAAGTTTTCCCAAAAATATATACTCTATCTTTACCAGGGCACAACGATGAACATGTGAAACATTTCGAGCTCTCATCGACAAATTTCTTCATTGTTTCTCCCAACATCCACATTTTCGCGTGAAACCTTACGTCATTCAGATTTTCTGGTATGTGATTGGTCTGTTCAATAGACCGCGACCAAACCGCAAGGACAACGAGAAAGGAATGTAGTTCGGTTTTCAGCAGCCGTTCTTTTGGGGGAGCGGTTCGTGACATCCAAAAGAAACGGCTGCGAGGGAGACTAGCTGACCTTGTGAAAACCACACCGTTTTCAAATTAGAACTACCGTATTGCCGCTCGCATTCATATTGAATAAGGACATTCCTTTAATGATAATTAAGTTGTTCAGTTGCCTTAAAATACTAAACGAGGGAAGCGCTATTTATAGAGTTTAAGCAAGAATTTTATGTCTCAAAAAGGTTTTTATGTTTTCCATAAAGGCGGAACTAAGTTCCCCTGCCATGGCGTCTACGTCACATTCTTTTGTACCAGCTGGTCCTGAAAGTGAACTAACCATACCAAAGTACAGTAACTGGCTCGCTGTGGGTCATGCCTTAATAACAGTACTTTGCAATGGTCTGAGGCCTTATGTCAAACGAGAGATGAATTCTCTGTATGAGCACATACAGAAAACAGTTGAAGCTCTTCCTGGTGCGGGGCCCTGCCAATGTGAAAATCTGGCCCGTCATGATTTGGGAAAATGTGCATGGGCATGTGAACTAATTACTTATCACCGTGGACCAAAACCACAGTGGAAACAAAGTGACCCCAGAAAGTGGACGGATCCGAATCTTGGTCCTTGGGAAATAGCTAAGTTGTACATACCTGATTTGGGTCCAGGCTCCATTATTAATGGTGCGGACGACATGGATATTACTGGTATCTTGAACCTCATGTACTGGTGCAAACAATTCACGATTCCACAGCCTCTGGTTGAAGATGTTCGAGAAGCACGTAATACAAAGTGGGCTCACGTGCCGAAGCTAGAACTAACAGACAAAGACAGACAGGCTGTCTTTAATGCTATTAAAAAACTGCTCGGAGATTCGCAATTTGACGGGGACGATGCCGCTTTAACGGCCCGAGAGAAAATATTGAACTACGTGTCCGACGCACAAACAGTCGAAGCCCAAGTATTAATTCAGTATACAAATGAGACGGAAAGAGATCTTTCAAACATTAAGAACGAGCTGAAAAGTCTAACGACTGACTTAGAACACAATGAAGAATTTCGAAGGCAGTTGGGAGAAAGTCTTGGTAACGTGGAGATGGCTTTAGAAAATGTGGACAAAAGGATGCAGGCAAGCCATTTGGAACACGATAAAAGGTTACGAATGCTGTTTGAAAGTCTTCATAACATGGCAACGGCTTTGGAAAACGTAAACAGAAGGATGCAAGAAAAAATTACCCTCAGAAGGCTCGTCCAAAATGGCATATTGTTCGTTGAGTACTGCCTTATTATGTGTTCCTGGGGATTAAGATTAAGAGCAAGACTGCTTGCTCCCTGGCTAATAATCCTTTTTTTGTGCAACTGCTTCACGAGTCTAGATCGCAGATCATTCGAGGATGGTAGGTTGAGCAAGTTACTTGCAGTTTGCTTAGTCGTCATCAAGAACTAACAACGAAACACCTAAACAATCAAACAACTAAACAAACAAACAACCAAAAAAAATAATAAAGCAAACGAGCTGACAAACCAACAATCAGTAGCCAGATACCGACGAACTGACTAATAGACTGACCGAATGACTGACTAACTGACAAACTGGTATACTATTGACTAATTAAGTAGCAACTAACCGAGTTCAAGAAGATGCCAAAAAGACAGAAAAAATGAAAAGATTAGTCTTCTTATATAAACATAGCTGGAATTGAGGAAATTTTCAAGTGCAGATCAAACATATAGAGAAGGTGCGATCCGAGCCAAATTCAGTATCTCATCACACAAAATGTATTTTCCGCTGCCTTTTTTTTATCTCTAGTGGTGTCTATAGGTCAATAACAATCGATTGAATGTTACCAAAATTTCAGTAACCGCGCCCTGCCAACTTTGGAAGGACAAGATTTCGTCCTGGAATACTTGCGCCTACTGAGCCATAAGGCGGCGTCCACACAGCGGCTGTACCTCTCCCAATGCCAGCTGCTGCTTTTCGTTTTTTCACTGAAGTCTGATCATTTGATTTAAAAAAAAATTTTCGAATTTCAGCACTCGTTTTACCCTATGAAACGATCGGATGTTTTCAGGATCACGGTGACCGAGCCATACCGACATTGGAGGGACAAGATTCTATTTTGGATGGCAGCTACAATACACGACTTGAAGCTATCAATAAATGCTATCAAGCAGCTAAGAAGCGAGGATTCCAAATGTTTGCAGTTCAAAATGGCGGATGGTGCGCCTCAAGTGCTTTCGCCATTGGAACGTTTACCAAATATGGCAAATCCTCAGCTTGTAAGTCAGACGGTGAAGGTGGACCATGGGCCAATCAAGTTTATTATATCAAAGGTTGGTATATAATCATACTTTCGTTCGCTTTACATGTGGTAGTGTAATCTTATTGTCCAGGTGAGTGTAATCCTGAGAGGGACTGTTCTCGGTAGAAGTGACTGACGTTTCGAAAACCTGAGCGGAAGTTATCTTCAGAGTCAAGTGAATAGTTGTTGTCAGTCAAAAGTCCTGTTCGTGTAAAATGATTGGTCAGTTTAGCAGTGATTTTTTTTTTGGCTGTAGCCTAAGTCAATCGTGATGGTCGTTTTACAGTTGTTTGTCGCTGGAGTCGTTTTAGGGATAGTTAGTTCGTCATGTTAGTTTTAGTGTCTCGCGATACTACATTCGTGTTTCCAAAAAGAGACGACCGGAGACGAGACAGGTTCAGGTAAACAATCGGTAACACAGCTTCTTGAAGTTAAAGTAAGCCACAGTAGAAACTTTAGATTTGTACTTTTGAAATGAAAACCAACATCGGGCTTTATGAAAAAGTGGAAAAACCCCTCAAGATTTTTCAATCTGCAGCCATCCTGGACATGAAGACTGTCAAATGTAAATGTATAGAACTACGATTTTGTTTTGCTAGTTTGAAGTTATGATGTATCCTTGGTAAGTCGAGTTGGCATTGTTGTGAGATAAGAAATACAATAGTTTATAATAATAAACAATACCAATTTGCATATGATGCACGATCCTCGCAGTAGATAGCGCTATTTAAGCAATAGCGAAAATCAGACCTGAAAAAAATCAGGCCTGTACGGGATTCGAACCACTGACCTCTGCGATACTAGTGCAGCGCTCTACCAATTGAGCTAACAAGCCAACTGGGAGTAGGCCGTTAAGTTGATTCTTAATAAGCCCGTGAAAGTGATAAATCAGATAAAATGAAATATATGAACTTCACTAGTATCGCAGAGGTCAGTGGTTCGAATCCCGTACAGGCCTGATTTTTTTCAGGTCTGATTTTCGCTATTGCTTAAATAGCGCTATCTACTGCGAGGATCGTGCATCATATGTATCTAATACCGCAGTACAAAATATATGAACTTCATATATTTCATTGTATCTCAGTACCAATTTGGCTATGTCATTACATCGCTCGCAGCGCCTGTGGGCAAGATGAAGCGAATCCTGTGTTTTTTTTTTGGACCTCGACTTCGTCTCGGACCATAAAAATGCAAAAAAAAAGAACTCGACCAAGATCCAGCCATGTTGACCTCATGCTTGGTTAAAAACGCACATGTATGAGAGCACTCCCTATTTAAGGTTTGGAAAGAATTAATTGAGTTGGCCTTTACCAAATTTCCTTCTCTTAGGTTATCAAGCCGTAGGATGTTATAAAGATACTTCAGATCACCCAATGGAAACGCTAGAAGGAAAAGATTCCATCTTAGACGGCGCGTACAGTTCCCGTGAAAATCCCATTGCAAAGTGCGCCGTGGCTGCATTGAGAAAGGGTTACAATTTATTTGCAATTCAGGATGGTGGCTTGTGTGCAGCAAGTGCTATTGTGCCACAGACCTTTGACAAATATGGAAAATCTACCACTTGTAAGGGTGATCGTAAAGGTGGACCCAGGGCTAAAAATGTCTATGTCGTCAATCGTAAGTTAGAGTAAAGAAATTGTGCTTTTGAGATCATTTGTTCAACAAGTATTTAGTGAAATTCGAAAACAGATTTGCCTACAAAGGGTCTACAGAATACGAAAGATTCTGACAAACAGGACAGCACAAGGAACTTAAATATATCACGGTTGTTGTATGACTGAAGTGACATATACTTTGTGTTATATTTCTAAGTGGCGCCCGCTGAGCCATAAAGCGCACACACAGCGGCTGCACCTCTCCCAGTGCCAGGTGCTGCTTTATGTTTTGTCACTGAAGTCTGACTATCATTTGATTTAAAAAAAATTTCAAATTTCAGCTCTCGTTTTACCCTACGAAACGATCGGATGTTATCAGGATCACGGTGACCGAGCCATACCTACATTGGAGGGACAAGATTCTATTTTGGATGGCAGCTACAAGGTACGACTAGAAGCTATCAATAAATGCTATCAAGCAGCTAAGAAGCGGGGATTCCAAGTATTTGCAGTTCAAGATGGCGGATGGTGCGCCACAAGTGCTTCGGCTGCAAAGACGTTTACCAAATATGGCAAATCATCAGCTTGCAAGTCAGATGGTAAAGGTGGACCATGGGCCAATCAAGTTTATTATATAAAAGGTTAGCTTAAAACACAGTACAAGGTTTGAACCCTGGGCCTAGTTGTTAAAGGCTGATTAGCGCTAACCCAGGGTTAAATTTTAATCCACGATTCTTTATCCCATTGTTCAGAAGCCTTTCTCAGATGAATAAAGGCTGATAGTTTCTAAAGAAACTGTTTGGGGCTCCGTCGGTGGGGGTAACGAAATAATTTGAATATATCAACAAAGTTGAAATGGTAAATTGGCCACCGTTACGATTATAAAAGCTAACGTTTCGAGCGTTAACCCTTCGTCGGAGCGAATAGAGGAATTGTGAGTTGTGTGTGCTTTTAAAGGCAGAAAATGGAGCTACGTTATTGGTGGGAACATGGCAACGAGAAAAACACAAATAAATTAGTGGAATGAAAAGTAACCTTTCCCAGATGATTGCCTCTATTCTTTGAAGGGCATCCAGTCATCAAACTATAGAGAAATATAATTGTAGTGAATTTTCTTTTAAAGCTTTCAGATCTTAGATGACATTTCACACTAACCCTGGGCTATCTTAACCCAGCCTTGAACAACCCGGTCCTGGAGTAACAGTTAGTCGTATAGTGTGCTGTTCGTGAGAAGGAGTTCCGAAGCTTTGTGGGCAGTCATGCTCGTCAGACACCTGCAAAAGTCTTTTTCAAGGTAACCCTCATCCGGACGATCACACTATACTGACGACCGCTAATTCATGGTATGGTTTTTTATTTTT